CAGAGGACAGCTGTTGTGTGTGCGCATGTTGTGTATCACACATAGGATAGCTGTTGAAGCTGCTTCTTCACCGCCACCTCATGTGGGCTCCAGGAATCGAACTTGGGTCATCTGGCTTATATAACAAGTGTCTTTACCACCACCATCCAAGCCATCTCACTGGCCCATTCTTCACTCAATTAGCAAACCTGAATTGAATCTGTAATCCACCTGCCTCATCCTCCCTAGTAGCTGGGATTATAGGCATGACTTCTTTCATATCCCTACAGACTCCACTCACCATGATTCTGGAAACTCAAAAACCCAGACTTGGTAATCCCTGTCCACCTGAGACTCCTGTAATAATCTCTGGGAACTATGGCCCAGTATGGAAATACAGAGGCATCAGAATCTGGATGCTTGTCCCCCTGCCTGAACAGTTTGGTCTATTCCCAAGAGTTAAACATGTTCTTGCTACCCCACCGGTCTCATACCACGCAATAGCAGACTTGTCACCTAAGCAAAAACATTTTGTTTTTAAGACCAGGTTTCACTGTGTCTCTTGCTGGATTGGTACTATGTAAACCATGATGACCTCAAACTATGGGATTTTCTGATCCTCCTGTCTTCAACTCCCAAGTGCTGGTTTTTGTTTGAGACAGGGTCTATGTGGCCCTGGCTGTCCTGGAACTAGCTCTGTGGATCAGGCTGGCCTCAAACTCATAGAGATTCACCTGCCTCTGCCTCTTGAGTGCTGGGATTAAAGGCGTGTGCCACTCAAGTGCTGTTTTATGTGATTTTGTAACTCAAACCCAAGGCTTTGTGCATGTTATACAAGTAGCTATCAACAGAGCTAAAACCTCAGATTTACTGAACAGATTTTGCTTCAGCGGGGTCTCAACTTTTTTGTTTCTTTTTTGAGACAGAGTCTCACTATGTAACCCTGGCTGGCCTTGAACTCACAGAGCAGAGATCTGTCTGCCTCTGCCCAAGTGCTGGGGTAAAGGTCACACTATGCGCTACTGACAAGGTTTCAACTTTGTAGCCTGAGGCTGGACATGCACTTAAGATCCTTTTGCCTTCAGTCTCCAAAGTACTGAGATTACAGACGTGTGCCACTATACCTGACTAGAAAATGCACTTTTGGGAGGAAGTTTCTTTCATTTTTTGAATCAGGGTCTCACTATACAACTTGGCCTGCCTAGAACTCACTGGGTAGATTAGGCTGGCCTTAGATTTGTACGGAACCCCAACCTCTGCTCCAGGGGCTTAGAACATGTGCTTTGTATCAGAGTGACTCCAATGACATCAACACACTTACACTCACCTGTGTCCTGAAACCACCCTGCCAGGGTCCAAATAATCCTCTTGTTCAGACCACATCCCAGACAGGTGAGCCATAGTCTCTGGAAGAGATCCTTCTGTTAACAGCTCAAGAAACTGTTTCCAAACTGAGAATCATATCTCTCCTGAGTGTTTTGTTCCTGTGGACTGAATCTGGCCATCAGGACTCCCCTTTACCTGCATCTACCTTGGTCCTTCTTTGGGCTCTCAAGGGCCGTTTCCATTTTCTTGCAACCCAGTCTTCTGGTTTCTTCCCCCTCTACTTCCTTTAACCACTGGGAACTTGATGTGTCCTTAAAGACCCCTGCCTCCCCAGGGGCAATGATATTCCCTCACCTCAGTGGCAAATCTTTAACATTATCATCAATGGCAATGCTTAAACTTGCATGGGCGGCCAGTTTATGGCCGTTCTCCAGTTGTCCCTATCCTGGCAGTCTTAGATGCCTGGTTATTGTCATACCCAAGGTTCCACAGTCTTCCTTTACGTGGTCTATCCAGCGGTTTTGTTTTTGTTTTGTTTTACTTTCTCTTTGTCTTATAATGTGCACTCCTCCAACAGCGCTATCCTTGAGTATCTGCTGCCATTCATTCTTATACCCCACCCTATCCCAATCTCTCCCAGTTGAGCCTTATGCTGGGTACCCAGGCCTGGCTGCAGGGGCATTTGTTACCTGAATAGGGAAGTCCTGTTGAGAGTACATATGTTGAAACAAGGAAGGTAGATGAAGCAACACAGGACGACAGATATGTCCTCACCATTGCACCAGCCATATCCTAGCTCTAATTCTTTTCAGAGACTTCCTAAGCCCCAGAGCAAACCGTAACATCCCCACTCGGGTACTCTGTCCCTGTGGCTGTCCTGAGTTTGGGCTTGGCCTGCTTCTTTGGAGACCCCAAAGTGTTAAGAGTAAAGGGGACAATAGGGAATCAAGAGGCTAGTGACGGCTAGTAACTGTGTGCATTAGAGATGTGCTTAGGTATGTTGACCTGAGCTTGGGGACAATAGTAGGCAGGCAGGAACAAGGAGGGGACAGACGGGCCATCTCCGCCTCCTTCCTCCTCTGCCCTCCCCACCCCAACAGCCACTACTTGATGTGTCAGCCAGTGGAGCAGAAACCACAGATACTTCCTCAAAGCAGCAGCCTAAACTCAGAGCCCACTCACCCCCTGAAGCCACATCACCCCCTGAAGCTATGGTGAGTGAGTCCCCAAGCCCCTAGTGGAAGTCCATTCCGGACAGAAACAAGGGGCACAAGCAAAAACTGAGAAACTGGTAAATAGGCCCCATGGGTAGCTTGGCAGAATAGAGCTGGCAAGAGTGTTGCGACGGAATGCTGCAGACAAAGGTAGAGAACAGCCAAGGCATAGCTTGAGCTCTTGTGGACCAGGCTTGGATCTGTGATTGCAGGCGGGGCAGGCTGTCTGCCTGGAATGCCATCTCCTCACCCCAGGTCAGCATCTGGGATGAGAACAGAGGCTTCTTGTGGGGTCAATAACTGGGTCATGCGCCTCCTGCCCCAGCCTCCCTCTCCACCACCACCCTGCTCCCAGCCAGTCATCCAAGCTATGCTCTGCTAACCTTCCGTATCTCTATCTAGAGTTGTTGCCTTAACTCAACAAAGAAATGTCTGACTCTAGGAAAGAACTGCTTCCTTCCCAGAGGTGTTTCGGAATCCCTCCATCTCAGATAGGCTCCCACAATTCTGCCCTCCCTGTCCTAGATGAAGGCAGGCTGAGAGGCCCCTCAGAGCAGGTACTGCCTTGTTATCCACTTGTACCTGTAACCTATGGCATATGGCCAGCTCTGAGAGCACCAGAATGTTCTGAACCTACCATACAGTACATGTGCTCATGTGGAGAGTCTGCGTGCTGGTTGTGTGTGTTGTGAGCCTTCCTGTGTATACCCACATCTTAGACTGAATGTATGTCTGCCTGTCTTTGTAGTTCTGCTTAGACTTTCATTTCTGTAAATATTTACTGAGTACCTACTATGTGCCAGGCACTGGGAAGTCACTGATGATCTAGATGTATGTGAAGGTTGGGTCTTCCTTGATGACTTCATTTTCATGACAGGGTCTCTAACTGTAGCCTGCTGACTTAGCTAGCCTGGCTAGCCAGCAAGCCCTAGAGGATCCTCTCTCAAGGCCTCTCCAAGTGCTGCTCCTGGCTTTTTTTAATGGATGGATACTGAGGATAGAACTCAGGTAGTCAGACTTTCATGACAAATACTTTGCCTACTGAACAATCTTTTTATCTTCCCAACTAGAACTTTAACAGTTTAGTCAAACTGGGTGTGGTGCACACACCTTAATCCCAGCATGTGGGAGGTGGAGGCAGGAGGATAAGGAGCTTATTCTCAGCTACATAGCAAGTGTGAGGCCAGCCTGGGATATACGAGACCCTGCTTCAATAAACAAACAAGACAAAAACGCTAGTCAGTGATGTGGTGTGGCTCAATGTCACAGAGCTTGCTTAGCAAAGTACTGGGCTCCATCCCCAACACTAGAAAAATACAAAACCCCAAAACAACCTGGTATAAAGACATTACAGCAGAACTAATATAAAAAATTTGATAGGTGATGGGAGATATAAAGAGAACAGTTAGGAAGGGCAGTGAAGGTGGACAACTGGGCAGGGGAAATTAATTTAAAATAGGGTTGTCTCCTTAAGAAGTATTGTCGCAAAGACATGGAGGAAGAAGAGGACAGACCCGTGTATTGAGATGTGTGCATTACAAACATGACAGAAGCTATGAGAAAGTTTTTGCTTTCCCTGGAGAAATGAAAACTGAGAGGTTGGGAACGGAGAGATTCAGCAGGCCTCCTTTAGAGCCCATTACAGTGTTCAGGGCTATGGGGATAGCTCCTCCAGCTGGGGTGATAGTGAGAAGTGGTTGGATTCCGGATGTATTTTGAAATCAGAACAAAACAGGCTGGGGAGAACCTGGTGGTCAGGCAGGGGGCAAAAGTTTAAGGTATTGGGAAGCACCATGTGGGGGCCATGGGCTAGTAGAGAGGCATCAGGAGCTAGGTCCTGTTAGAGATGAGGTTAGACCCAGCTTAGGCGGAGGAGTCAGGGGTGTGTGGCTTCCAGGAACCTGAGGAATAGTTCTTACCCAAAAAGAGAAGCTGGCTGAGGTAGAGCTGAGGTTGAGGAAGAAGCAGTGGTAGAATGGGAGCCAAAGGGAAAGGGAGGGTGATGGGTTTGTATGTCTTTGACCAACTCTATCTGTAAGTACCTAGTTGTTTCTCCATCTGCTTTCTTGTATGAGACTCTTCCTGAATAATCTGTCTTCTTAGGGAAGCAATCAGGACTTCCGAAACCTCCAAGCTAAGTTCCAGGCCTCTCAAGAGCCTGGAGAACCATCCAGAAAACCCATAAAGCCTGAGTTCAACAAACTCCTGAAGAAGTTTCCACAGACTGAGTTAAGTGAGCAGCCCAAGAAGGCCTCACAGTCTGAGCTCAGTACAGTGTCCTTGAAACCCCTGCAGCTGCAGTTTGCTGACATCCCCAGGACCTCACAGTCAGTTCTCAGAACGTCACCGCAGCCTGAGTTCACTGAGCAGCCCAAGAAGCCTCTACAGTCTGAGCTCAGAGATCTCCCAAGGAAGCCTCCACATCCAGAGTTCACTGGTCTCAAGAAGCCCTCACAGGCTGAGTTCACAGATTCCAAGAAGCCCCCACAGCCCCAGTTTGCCAGCCTCCCTAAGCCCTCACAGCCTGAGTTCACTAATCTCCCCAAGAAGCTTCCCAAACTCGAGTTTGGTGAACTCACCAAGAAGTCTCCACAGCTTGAGGCATCCCAGGAGCCTAGTATACCTACCCAGAAGCCCCTGAAATCTGAGCTCAGCAATCCTGCCAGACCCCCAGTAGAGCTCAAACCTACCACATTTCCCAAGAAGTTCTGGAAGCCCGAGTCCAGTGAGGCCCCTCTGAAGTCCTTGTCATTTGAGTCCAGTACTTTTCCCAAGAAGCCACTGCAGCCTCAGGCTGCTGGTTCCTCTAGGACGTCCCTGACACAGGTAGAGTCCAGCGAAGTTCCTCAGACATCCAAGCCTGGGTCCAGTGAGTTTTACCCCCACTCGCCAGAGCCTGATGTCAGTACCTTTCCCAAGAAGTCCCTGCAGTCTGAGCTCAGTGAGAATTTCAAGAAATCTCCATCTCTTCAGGCCACTGGTTACACAAAGTCTCCACAGCAGCCCATGTCCTATGAGGTCCCCCAGACACCCTCTTGGAAGCCTGAGTCATGTAATCCCCCATCTCACTCCCTGCAGCCGGACTTCCAGGCACTGCCCAAGAAGCATCCACAGCTCCAGCTAAGTGACCTTACCAGGACATCCTCGGAGCCCGAAGTCTGCAAATTTCCCAAGAAGCCTCAGCAGCCAGCCCCCAAAGTGCTTTCTAAGAAGCCCTCGCAGCGGGAACTGGGTCATCTCCCTAGAACATCCTCAGAGCCTGAGTTCAGTTCACTCCCCAAGAAGTTTCTGCAGCCTCAACATGGCAAGTTCTTCCAGCCTGACTTTCCCAAGGGTCTGCCCAGAAAGCCCAAACTTCCTGGTTCAGTATCTGAGTGCTCCCTGGCCTCTGCCTTTGAGGGTTTCAGCCCCCAGTTCCCCCTCAGCCCTGGGTATGGAGTCTCTCGGACACCCAATTGGAGATCAGAAGACTTCCAAGTCCAGCACCCGCCCCAGCGAAGGCCTTTGCCTTCAGCCAGCAGCCTGGGATCTCCTCCAGCCAAGCCCCCATTACCACCTGTCCCCATCAATATCCAAAGCTTCCGGAGAGCCTCAGCAACAGCCACAGGTGAGTTAGAGTAGGTGGTTCAGACAGAGGAGGGGGAAAATATCTGGGTAGGGCCACTTCCTTCCCGTCCTCTCTTCCACAGCTGTACTGAAGACTGGCTCTTCTGGGACCCACTTCCCAGCCCAACCTCAACAGATCCTGCAGTGAGTGTTGGGAGAAAGGGGCCAGGCATGGGTGTAAGGCTAAAGGAGGCCCTCACCTCACGTATCCTTGCAGGAACCCGGACGAGATCTATGAGCTGTATGATGCTGTGGAAGCCACAAGTGACTCTAGTCTCAGCCCCAGAGGCAGAGGTTTGTAGGTGGTCTAGGTGGTTGGCTTGGGTACCCATGAAATATTAGTTACAAAGGCATGCTCGCATGATCCAAGTTTAAGAACACAGTGACCCAGACCAGACTGGATGCTGCTGGGCCAGATGGTAAGGAAGGGGAAGCCCAGAGGCACCCAAGAAGCCAAGCTTTCTGTAGGTAGAAGCATGGTCAAGTCAGGTGACAAGAGGCCTGGACAACAATGGAAGAATTACAGAAACCATAGTTGGCAAACCAGACAAGATGGTGTATCAGGCAGGGAATGAGTGGCATGCTCCTTTCATATACCCTAGCACTCGTGCAGAGGAGTCATGCAGGATCATGGATAAGGAAGGCATCAGGTTCCAAAGTTGGGCAAGGTTAATTACAATGTACACCTGTAACTCCAGCATTTAGGCAGCAGGATGATCTGCCTTGGCTACTCAGCAACCAAGACCAGCCTGGATGAGACCCTGCAAACAACCAAAGCAAATGCCACCCACCAGGTTCCTTGCAGTTCATCTCAAGAGAATGTACCAGCAAAATGTATACATGCAGCAGCAGGTTTTCCTTTATTCTAAGTCAGTCTGAGGGGCTCCACGATTGGTGTCTCTATGGCAACAGCATGGGGTTTTATGAACGAGCTTTGATGATTTGTAGCCAAGGGAGTTACCCCATTGCCAATAAGGATGTTCAAGGATCTGAGACTAGGCCTAGCCAGCTAAGCGCCCCCACCCACCAGCTATTCCATTTTACTAGCTTACTAGGGCTCCTAGGAGGGTCTTTTGGCCTTGGGATGCTGGAGGTCCTGATACAAAGCCAGATGCTTTCAAATTCTCCAGCCCTTGCTCCTTTCTGGGTCCTTTTTGTTTGCTTCTCCTGGTTCATCAAGAGAATGCCCATAGTGCTTCTGTGGAGGGGGAGCTCTATACTTGGGGGAGGGGTCACGGTTCAAGATCATGATCAAACATCAGACCCCTGAATTTCTCCTTTCAGTGCAATGTGTGAGCCTCCCTGTGGCGCAGAGCCTCTCAAAGTCCGTTCTGAGTATTTCAGAGTCATCTTTCTAGTACCAGAGTGGCCTGGGGACCACCTATTCTTTGGTTCCTTTGAAACATGGCAGCCCCCCCACATCTTTTGTCAATTGGGAACTCACAAGGAAGGCCAGGGTTCAGCCTTTCCAGGATTATATGTAGACCACCAGTGGCCTGCTCAGAACAAGCTGCAGGATGACCCAGAACTAGAGAGCCCAGTACTGTCACAGTCAAGTTTGCTTCTAGCTGTGAGACCACTCAAGGCTGAGGCAGATCATGAGAAAAAGCAGGTGCAGTACAGGTTGAGTAGGACCCAGATCTCTGCCTACAGAGTAGAAATCAAGCTTATCACTGACTTAGTATGACAGTCACCCCTCTGTGGGCTATAATCAGAAAGGATAGTTGGTCCAAAGTGACATTTGGGTCATCAACAAAATGGGACCTCTGATTCAGATCCTCACTAACCCCGATCTTGAAGAGGCTGTCACCCAAGCCTCCAGCCAACAGTTGGTCTTATTCTGGAAGCCTGTCCTACTGCTGGGAAGTGATACAAGTCAACCCTCTGGGAAACCCTACCATTCAGTCTCAGCGGCAGAAGGTTCAGGCTAAGAACTCCACCCCAGGGACGTGGTGGTGGTGTGTGCCTTTCCCGGCATTTGGGAGGCAAAGGCAGGTGGACCTGAGTTCAAGGCCAGCCTGGTCTACAGAGTGGATTCCAGAACAGTCAAGTCTACACAGAGAAACCCTGTCTTCAAAAGACCAACCAACCAACCAAAAAACTCCACCCTGGTTGCTCCTCCTTAGAGGCAAGCTATGGATGGCTACAATGTAATTATTTGTTTTTAGTTCTGAATCCAAAATTTTATCACAACTCCCAACATATTCTGGGAGGTAGAAGAAAAATGGCTCCCAAAGTCTACGACTTATGGGCTGATCATGGTGGCCACAGCTTTTGATACTAGCACTCAGGGAGACAGAGGCAGATAGATCTAGGACAGCCTAGTCTATATAGTTCGAGAACAAAAACCAAACACAAAGGCCTACAAATCCATCCCATCTCTACAATTTTAGACAGTTAGCCAACTTCTCAGTCTTTATTTTCCTCACCAAAACAAACCTTACCCACAAGGACTGATGAACCCTGAGAAAAGTACACAAGAAGAGTGGTCAATTCAGGGAAGCCCTGAGGATCCAGAGAGCAAACTCAACCCATCAAGTCACTAGGGTAGATAAAGAGCTAGGGACCTTTGTCCTGACTCTGTCCAATGCCCTCAGATGAAGTGCAGTCTACCCAGCAAGCCACCAGATGGCCTCAGCAGGACGCTGAGCTCAGGTACATGGGGCAAATGGGGTGATTTGGGCTGAGATCTGGGACTCTAATAGAGGATACTTCTTACTCGTAAGTACTCCAACGTCTGGGTCTTCTAGGAAGAATGCTACTCAGCTACAGCAGCTGCCATCCACAGACCCCAAGCTGCTGAAACAGATCAGGAAGGCAGAGAAAGCTGAGCGAGAGTTTAGAAAGAAGTTCAAGGTGAGAACACTGAGTGAGTCCTGGGATGACTGGTACCCAAGGCCCATGATTTACATCCAGGGTAAGAAACCAAGGTAACAGCAGATACAGAAAGTCTTAACATGTTAACATGATGTTCCTTAAGTTTGAAGGTGAGATTGTGATTCAAACAAAGATGATGATTGACCCCAATGCCAAGACCCGGCGTGGGGGTGGCAAGCACCTGGGTATCCGGCGTGGAGAAATCCTGGAGGTGATCGAGTTTACTAACAAGGATGAGATGCTGTGCCGGGACCCCAAGGGCAAGTGTAAGTGTGTTTGGTTCACATCTAGGGAAAGGAGTGAGAGTGCTAAAGATGAGAATCCATTTTATCTGTTCTCCCCTGCAGATGGCTATGTACCCAGAACTGTACTGTTGCCCTTGTAAGTACTGGTCCTGCCTGGGTGGAATGGGGAACACCAAGGTTGGCTCCTATTGACAATACTGTGCTCTCTGCCAGGGAAACAGAAGTATACGATGATGTCAGCTTCTGGGGTATGTGCAGTGAATCCCACGGGGATACTTGTTATCATGCCTCTGTGGCACAGGATCACTTGAATTCATCCTTCTTTGCAGACCCTCTGGACAACCAACCATTTCCTCAGGGACAGTAAGGCAGACAGACAGGTGGGTTCCAGAACCACCAGCCCAGCCACTGCTCACCCAGGAGCCCTGGATCCCAGCCTGGCAAACAGATACCCAACATGCCCACATAAAACCCCTCTTTAAAACATCCTTGTTTGTTTCTTGTCCTCTTCTTACTGACTAGAACACACAGCAGAACACAGGCACATGCAAGGGACACCAAAGGTGAAACAAAGAAAAATCAAATGCCCACCCAATAGGAAAGGAGCTGCTGAAGATGCACCCATACATATCCTAGATGACCAGTAGCTGTATCCCAAAATTCCTTGTAGGCTTCAGGCATTTGTGTTGTCAAGTGAGTCTATAACAGCCCTTCACTGGTGGAACTCCTGCCTAACAAGACATCAGTATGAAGTATTTCCCAAATAGTGACATTCTTAGTGGTCTTGAACAAAAAGCCAAATTGAAGTGAGCTTCACTCAGTGTCTGGGACTCACAGAATAAAGCCACAGGATGATTTTCGGGATTGTTATTGTCACCCCAGGGAAGATCCACTAGTGTTCCTACTATAACTAGGGTCTGCTCTCCAAACAGTGGAGTCCACAGACAACAGCAATGAGTAAGATCCCTGGAGGTCACAGCTCCCAGGAAGGAAGAAGTACAAGCTGCCCCAGTCTCGCAGAACTCAGATGGCCACCTCTACAACAGATACACACACAAAAAAAGGAGGCCACTTTCAGGAACTGGTATTTATTATCAAAGTCATATTTGATGTCAACAAGATGCCACAACTACAAAAAAAATTGTGCACATTGCAATCTCAATGCAAACAGTCAAATGGAACCCCAATCATTAAAATATTAATTCAGATCACCCCAAAAAGCAACTGAATTTTTTAAACATCTTTATACATCCAGCCAACAAATTAAAATGGTTAACAAGAAAAAATACAAATTCAGAGGTCTGGTATTGATGTTTAAAAAAGGCAACTGCTTAAGCATTTCTATCGATTCGAACATCAATCTCTCGGCCACTCAGCTTCATGCCATTCATCATCCGGCAGGCTCTCTCAGCCACCTCTGGAGATTCAAACTTAACCACACCGCACCCCTTGGACTTTCCGTTCTCCATCTTGATGTCGGCGTACAGCACGTGGCCTGGCACAGGGAGGGAAGAAGAGACCACACGCATCAGGCAAACCCAGAGCTCAGCCTCAGTCTGGGCTCCACTCAGTCCAGATCACCTGTTGGATTTCGGTGACAGAGTCAAAAAGGAGAGAGGCCCTTGCGCATGAAGCGAATGCTCAGAACACCACGTATGGCGCCAGCAACTACAGCCCTCTCCACTCTATTGCCATTGTTCTCCAAGCAGGACAACAGCCTAAGCTGCTGTGAAGAACTTGCCAAGCAGCTTCAAATGTTCACCTTTCTGCTCCAGCAAGTTACACGGAGAGGGGCCTATGTGGAGTCAACTTTTGTTTAGAATTCTAGAGGCTTGATTGTTGAATACTACTATCTGGTCACAAGGCCACTGCCAATATAATACTTCTACACTGCCCTAATGTAAGCCAGGTACACCTAGTGAGTAGCTTACACATATCCATTCATAGACATATTAAGCACCCAGGTTATTAAGTACCCAGGTATGTGTCAAGCACAAAAGAAATGGGTCTATAATAGAGCAGAAGTCAAAGACACATTAGTGCTGTTAGGGCCCATAATTCTTGTGCTAATAATAATAATGGCTTGGGAGAGATGACACTCCAGTGGCTACTCATGATAAAGTTGTGAAAGATATTAACAAGCAATTCATCAGAAAACATGCCTGCCAAAGCAGGACACAATGGTACACATCTGCAACCCAGCACTTGAGAGGTTAAAGCAAGATTTTGAGTTCTAGGCCAGACTGGAGCTACATGGCAAGACCCAGGCTCAAAAGAAGGGAATGACAAGACAGAACTAAAGGAGGGAAGACAGAAAGGAGAAGAGAAAGGCAGCTCACCTGGAATCCCAGCCCTTGGGAAGTGGAGGTAGGAGAATCAAGAGTTCAAAGTCACTGAGGTTGTAGCTCAGTGTATACAGTGCTTGTTTAGCATGCACAAAACTCTGGGTTTGAGTCCTAGCACTTATACAAACCAGGCACAGTGGCACACCCCTGTAATCCCAGCATTCAGGAGTTAGAAGTTCAAGGTTATTTTCTGGCTATACAATAGTAAGTTTAAGGGCCACTCTGAGTTCAAGAGACCCAATGTTAAAACAACAACAACAACAACAACAAAAGCAAGGCAAAAGAAAACAAAACAAGACAAACAAACAAACAAACCAATCAAAACCAAAAACCTGAGAGTTCAAGATCATTCTTGGCTACATAATGACTTTGTAGTCAATTTGGGCTAGTTGGATCCTATCTCAAAAAGGAAAAAAGGGAAGGACAAAACAGTAGGGAAAAGGGAAGGTAGTCTTCTGGCAAGTTCAAGGGCAGTAGGGAGATAAGTTTCCAGAAGATTTTGAGTTTGCATTTTTCTCAGAGGTGGAGAGAGTGGCATGTTCCAATCTGAGCTTTTTGAGTATCTAGTTAGAACCAGGGGACAGCACTACTTCTGAATGCTGAGCCATTTCTAAATGAGGAAACAAGAAACAGGTGTTTTGATTGAGCTTAACTGAGAACGTGCAATGGTACGGGAAGACTGCATCGTGGTCACCAAGGAAGCTTTCCAGAAAGGTTGCATAGGTGTGCCTATGAATCCACAGAGACTTTCAGTCTATCCTGTGTGCCCAGACCAGACCCATAACTGCTGAGCATATGAGTACTCTGGGCAACTAAACCAGCTATGGGCTTCATGGGGGAAAGCAACTTGTCTTGGATTTACTTCTTTTGTTTTTGCTTCTTATAAATCTGTGACCTTAGGAAAGTGGCTTTGCTGACTCTTATGTAAAAAGATGACAATACTGCCTTCTCTCAGAAACTGAGAAAACAGTGGCGGCATTTGCCCGTAGAGTCAGAACATGAAAGGCCTGAGAGGGAAAAGAATCATGAACTCAAGTCCAGCTTAAGTTGTAGCAGAGACAGAGAGACTGTCTCAAAAACTAACTAGAGAGGAACAGGACAGATGAAATGAGCACATGGCATGACACAAACCAGGACACCCAACACCTGCCTACATAGCTGCAGAGGCAGAACAATGGCAAGGCCATGGACACTCGAGAGCCCATAGACAGTGGCTAAGGCTAGGAAGGAAGCTTCACTGCTACAACTCAACAGCATCACCAACAAGCCACAACACAGAAATGCACAGACAGTCTTTCTCAAACAGACACTTACCACATTCGTTGAATTTGTCTTTTAGCATTTTCCATGTAAAATCAAATGGGAGCTGAGGAAAAAGAGAGCAGACTAATCTGTGATGCAACCAAATCTCAGTGTACAGACATCACAATAAATACAAGATTACGATTTGAAGGTTTCCATGGGCTGGGGGTGTAGCTTAGGTGCAGGGCGATTTGCCTAGTATGTGTATAACCCTAGAGCACCCATGTGCTCCATGCCAGCACCACCAATGGGGTCAATGCCAGGACCCATCCCCAGTACCCCCAATTCCAAAAAAATCTCCACTTCTCATCAGAGTCTGGCTGACTTCTTTATGACAATCAGCAGAGAAGAAAACAAATCCCTAGCTTATGGGTATATCCTAAGAGCTAAGTGGGCAACCCACAATCTACTGACAAAATATAATTCTATCATAACCACCTTTCTCTGAATCACTGTGCCAAGACTAAAGTGTCCCTCAAGCCAAGGGAATCAGAAACCACAAACCTTTAGAGCCCAGTCTACTCTATTGACCCACATATCCCAGACAAATGAAAGACTATAATTTTGTTTCTTTGTGTTTTAGAGACAGGGTCTCACTTGGCAGCTCTTGTTAACCTAGATCTCACAGAGACCCACCTAACCTTTACCTCCAGAGTGCAGGAATTAAAAGAATGGGCCATCATGCCTGGCCCTGGGACTATTCCTTCTGTAAACACTCAATCTCCAGTTCAGTTTTGGGGATGGACAAGTTATATTCCCCATGCTGCCCAGTTCTCCCTTCAGCAGACATCCCTCTGGTCTACATCACTCAGCCCACTGATCTCCCCACCATTCATTCACAACAACACTGAGGAGCTCCTGAAGAACCACTTACATTTCTCACAAATATCTGGCAAGCCTTCCTGGCTACTCCAGGTGCATGGCCTCCAGCTCCGCCAAAGGAACCTGCGAAGCTTCCTCCAAAGTTGCCCCGCTCCATCTCAATGGCTCGGTCAAAGCTAGCACCTCCAGCGCCACCCATGGCCAGGCCCATTCGCTCAATGCCAGC